TAATGTTTCCAAGTACTTTCCTGGATCTTTGAGCAAAATTCCAACAATATTAACATTTGTGTGGAATACTAAAAATGTGTGAAAGCTACTAATTTACTATAAAACACACAAATAAGATATAATAAGAACTAAATAAGATATAATAAGAACTAAACTCCCTCTCCTGCATTTTCTAGTTAATGGAAATAATCAATTTTTTAATCCTTGAGATGTGATTAATTTCATACAAACTTACATTTTAACTAATCATAGATACACTAATCATAGTCTATATGAAATCATGCAGAACCCTGTCCAATTCCCCTATGAAAGGCAACAGTGATGGTTTTTCATCACATCTACAATTTGCTTATAGTGGAAACAAACAGGTACTTCTAGTACATTTCACAGTGCCCTCTAGAGCAGAGGGCAGTGCTTACCTGAGGGACTCACAAAAATCTTTCTGAATCTTATTTTCCTCTTTCACTAACAAAAGGGAGAGAAAAGTACCCAGACTCATACCACAAAATGCCAGGAAGTGTGTTCAGCCCAGTGATTATCAGGTGGGTCAGGAAGATGCTCAGAGGGCTGGGCCATCTCTCCTATGATTACAGCCTGTGGGAGTTGGGGATGTCCAGCCTGGAGAAGAGAAAACTCAGGGGAGACCTTCCAGACCCTAAAGGAGGCTATAGGAGGGTTGAAGAGGGATTTTTTACAAGAGAATACAGTGACAGGACAAGGGAGAACAGTTTTAAACTCAAGAAGGAGAGGTTTGAATTAGATATTAGGAAGAAATTCTTTACTGGGAAGGTGGTAAGGTACTAGAGCAGCTTGCCAGAGAAACTGAGGATGTCCCATCCCTGAAGTGTTCAAGGCCAGTTTGGATGGGTCTTTGAGCAGCCTGGTCTACTGGAAAGTGTCACTGCCCATGGCAGGGGTGTTGGAATTAGCTGATCTTCAAGGTTCCTTCCAAACAAACCATTTTATGATTCTGTGATTCTATGAATCCAAAAAATTCTGTTGAATCAGAAAACTGCCCTCTTGTGTTACATTTCCTGTCACAGTTTATTGTGAATAGCTTGAAAATTGAGGTCCCAGCCAGACGGACACCAAGCAGTACACCTTTGTGAACTTCAACCAAAATACTCTTTATATTTGCTTCCCTCTTTCTCTCCACTCAGGAGATCTGACTGCTCCTTTCATGCACAGTGACAACCTGATTAGCCATCAGGAAAAGAAAATTAAATTGCCTCTCTGATACACAATACAGAAACAATATTAATCTCAGAATTAACATTTTCTGCATTCAGTCTCTCCACATCAGTAGAATATTTCTAAAAATAAACTTACGTTTCAAGGAAAAGAAATTATTTTCAATTTTCAACACTACTGTATTACCTACTACAAAAGCAGAATTTTTCATGGCACTGATTCCAAATTATATATTCTATCCATACCCTTATCCAGAACTAATGTGTGATAGTAGCAGCTTGGATAATTGTGGAGAAAAGAAAATCCTAATATCAGAAGCAAAAACCAGGAGAGCCAGTTTGTTGTTAAAGTGTTGCTAACAGAGTAGTTAATTGTTTGGCTTGCCAAGAAGTAATCGAACAACAGACAGAACAAACTGTCCTCCTTTCCTAAAGTTCTCAGATTTTGTAGCCTTCTCTGACATATATTAATTTTAAGTCTTTAACACCTGTGAACCATACGGATGTGCAATTACACTTAAGCTTCAGTTTTGTAAAATAAAGGTTTTCTGATTTTGTGCTGAGTGCACTTCCTCACATCCTGCAAGGGTGACCCAGCAGACATTCTAAAATGGCAGAAAGTAAGAGCAAACAGGGGGAAAAGTCTGAACAGCAAGGAATGCCATTGTGAAGGAAACAAAGTAAGAAACCGAAAGAAAATCTTTGAAAACATTTATTAGAGTTACAATTTAAAAAATAAAATAATCAAACCACAACAAGAAAAACAAACAGAAAAAACCCATCAGATCAACACCAAAAAAAAGTAAGAAACATATTTGCTTCTGCCCCTTAAATGGCTTATCACTGTGGTTGGACTAGTGGAGTAATTCAGAATCTCTACCTTTGCCAGCAGCATCAGATTTAACAGTTCATAGTGGGTTGATTCCCATTACCCCCCCATTGGCTGGGAAGAGAACAGAAATAACAAAGGAAGAAAATCTTCATGATATAACAGTTTCCTGAAAAAGACAATTTAGTACCTTAAATAAAGACAAAAGTAAAAAACAAAACAAATGATGCAAAGGAGATCAGTCACAACCTCCTGACGCCCATCCAGTCTCTGAGCAATGGCTGCTTCCTCCAGAAAATACTCCCCACAATTTTTATGTTTCATGGTATGGAATACCTCTTTGGTCAGTTCAGATAGACTTTCCTGGCTGTATTCCCTTCCAACTTCTGGGCCACTCTCGGCCTACTCACTGGGAGGGGAAAAAAACTGAAGAACAGAGAAGCATTGATGGCCTACAGGCACTGCTGAGGAATATCAGACAGTCTGCCAGTTATTCATGTTAGTTAGTCATGAACAAAAATACAACACCATACCAGCTGCTACAAAGAAAACTAATGTAGTCTCAGCCTAGACCCAGTACACAGTCCCTTGAATCACATAGTACAATTCATAACCTTAAGTTAGGTGTTTGCAATAGAGGCCTCCTGTAGCCAGAATGCAAGCAGCTAGAAATACCTTCAAACTGTAGGATGGTATTTCAGGAGGCCAACTTTGAAGCAGATGACTGAATATATAAGAGACCACAGTGCCTGATGCATATAGAGCAAGCCAAAAGAATTACTCAATAACCTTTGACAGGCTTCCATTAAGTACATTGTATTATGTTAACAAGGTTGTGTAAACTTGAACCCAGAGTGGATTAAGAATACCCAAGCCTCACTGATGAGTGTCTTTTGAACTGAAGTGCTGGAGCACCTGTCTTTTAACCTGAGTGACATTTAGAAAACAGGACATCTTTTACAGAGAGAAGATGTAGGTATGATTATGTAGGTTAGATGAGTTCTCCATCCTTAACCTCCTGCTTTCTGGACGACTACCTATAATTACTGTATTATATTACTAGCTTAATATATTGTAACAAGCTTAATATGTTATATACCTTCTTCAGTGGTGTTTCTGGTACCCAAACGTTCTTTTTAAAAGTATTTCCTTCAAATTGCAAACCCACCCTATTCAAATAATGAGGACTTTATCTCAACCATTATTTTATAAAAACGTAAAGACATAATTTCAATAAGAGAAGAAATAATAAATCTTCCATTCTCTCAGGAGCTTTGGCAACAGCCCACCTCATTTCATAGAACCAGCTCTTTCCTCTACTGTCTGACATACCCTTCTAACCCCATTATGAATATAGTAACAAGCTGTGGTAGCAGAAATTTTGCTTAATACTTCTACTGAATTCCCATATACAGGGCAAGGAGCAAACTATGCATTTCTCTCTCATTCCTCATCTCTGTTGTGTTACACTGACAGTTCTAAAGCACTTCTTGGTTTTCACAAACAATCCTTAAGGAAAGTAACTTACCATTTTGTGAGGAGTAATGTCGCAGTCTGTTTATTGAATTTTGTCAAAGTTCAAATTGTTTGCTGGTTTGTTCCTTTTCCCCCCAGGTTAAATGTATTGTTTTCTCCCTGTTGTTATCCCTCCCTCACCTTGACGATCAAGGCAAACCCCTCCCTTCCTTCTTGAAAGTTCCTTGTCTGTCTCCCCAGCCCTGCCCCTACTCCCTATCCATCATGGTAAACCCCACCCTATCTTCCAGATCCTTCCGTGTCAGTCATTTGTCCCTCGAGGCCCACTGGTTAGTGTATCTTGCTCCCTCCCTCTGTGTATCCCTATTGGTTTTGAAGTTGCAATTCCCCTCCTCCCCTCAGGATTCCCTACTGGTCCACTGTTTGTACCCTCCCCTGGAGATTAACCCCTTGCACAAGAGTGCTTAGGGCTCTCTTGGGCCTTACCCCTTTGAGAGTGATCCCCCATTTCCTTAATAAATATAAATTATCCTTAATTATTAATATATTAATTATCCTTAATAAACATTGCTGGGAACTTCACTCCGGAGAGACTCCTCTACTTTTTTACCTCCACCCCTGATGCCGTGCACTGAAGAGCTTGGGCCGGCCCAAGTCTCTGGAGGTTTCACTGAGGGAAAAGCCAACATCCTAGTGATTCCCCACTCTTGGCGCTCGCCCGTGCCAGAGGGAGAGAAGGAACACCACAGAGCTAACCAGAACTCTGGTGCAGTGCAGCATCAGAGTAACTTTCTGGAAGTCTGATTTTTTTTCTGTGCAATAACAGTTCAAGCAGCAGGAGGGCAGTTAAACAATACACAATAGATCTAACTATGCTTTACTGAGATTGTCTGTCAGAGAGTCAGCTTGATGGTATTAATCAACACCAGGGAAAGGACTGCAAGATCATGCCAGGTGCACTTTATCTTGACCTAGAGAGATCACCTTCAAGTAATAAAAACAAGTTTAGTTCCTTTGCCCATGTAATTTCTGACTTGCTGATAAAACTGTCAAAGCCCATGTCATTTATGGTTGCTACAGATGCTATTCTGAGATACTGTTTTCAGTGAATCAACTGATAACTGCCAATAAACAGACAACAGGGGATAACAATTTTTATCTATATGGCCTTGCACTGCAAACCAGAAAAGCACTGCACATCGAGTAAATGTGAACTGGCTTTGTCCTCATACAGTCAATCTAATAAATAAACCAAATCAGTAAAACCCGTCCACTATTCAATAAATTATTTTGTTTCAGGTTAGACCAAACATTATGGTAAATTGTATCTCAAAATGGAATTAAATAACTGGAAAACTTTTAATCAAATATATGACAAGCCTGATGATAGCACTGTCTTTATAGTAAAAAAGAGTAAATTCATTTGAAACAAGGCCAGAGACAGAACAGTTTGGACATGAGATATTTCTGTACACCTGTAAAAATATCAAGGTGGAATGACTTACCACTTCTTCATGGGTTGCACTTTCTACATTTATACCATTAACCTAAAAACAGATATGATAGAGAGAAAATTATTTGTAATACGAAGTTAGTTACTGAAATAAAAGCAAGTATGAAACAAATGTCTGTGGAAAAAAGTGAATGTTTACTGACCTGTATTATTGCATCTCCTATAAATAACATTCCTGTCTGTTCAGCTGTGGGATTACAGAAGGAGTAGATTTTAATTGATCGTAATACTGAAAAAAATGCCATATTCTCTTCCAGCAATTGGTTTAACACACTCTTTGTAATCATCGTTTGAAACTGATTTGGTTGAGAAAATACCAATGGCACAGCAATCAGTATTCATCCAAAAAAGGTAATAGATTCCTAGCAATTTAAAAAGAAATTAAGAGAGCTACTTTCCAAGCATAAAGAACTTGTTTAGTATGGAATACAAATGTCAATTCTCACTAATGAAGGATTTCATTAAATTATGTGGAAAATGTGATTCACACTTTTCATTATTCTTTCACAAAAGGGAAACAGGAGTTTCTGAAACTTCTTAGCAATTCCTTTCCCCCTGAACAAATTTACAGGAACTGCTGTAATTAAAGATGTTGTGACTAGAAATTAATACAATTTTTAGCATGAATTTTGAGTTAGTTTTGCCCCTAAGAGCAACATTATTTCGATCTACAATTTGCATATTTCCTGCCTTACAGAGTTAATGGGAATAATGTCACAAAACTTCAAACAACTCTCTATAGATACAAACAATGACATTTTTGAGGCCTATTCTCTAACTTTTAAACTTTTAACTTTTTTTTTTTGTTAGAATTTGAGGATGTTTCTCTCAAGAAATGCATTAATTAATTAATAGTAAGGCGCTTATCCTGAAAAGACTGATAGCATTAAAGAAGTCCTATTAGTTTTATATGTGACCTTTAAGGTCACAGTTTGAGGCTTAGAAGAATGCCATCAATGTATTCATCAAAGTATTATGAGAAATGAAAATAGAAGTAAAAAAGAAAGAAAAGACTGCATAGAGTATTCTTTATTTCTGCAATTTAGCTGTTGCTCCTGCAAATGTACCTTTGTTACAAAATAGCATTTTTAAAAAAAAAATTTGTTCATCACTCATTTGGCAGATTATAGTTCACTAGTCAATACTTAGGAAATTTCACTTATTTCACTATTTATTTTAAAAAACATGTTACAAATTGCATTTGAGGTCTTTATCCCACTTCTCATCCTACTTCGTATTTAAAAATATGCATATAATTAGTAGTAGCTGGTATAGAAAAGACATCTATGTACAGAAATTTAATGGAATTAAAGCAGTTCAAAACTGTCACAAAGCAATCTGAAGTAGTTTGTCCTGGGTACATACATTGGTAGAGGTGCTGAACATTAGCTTGGGCATCTCAGTACTATACTTCTATTTGAGATGTTAGTAATACATACACCAATAGTGAAAAATGTGAAGGATTTTTAATTCAGTGCTTATGTTATAGCCATTGGGCCATTTTAAAAAAAGTGGAAGCATCCTTGAATTGGAGCTAGAAGGAAGAGGATAAGTTTGAAATTCCAGTTGCACCAAAGCAGAAAAGGGTGAATTCAAAGGATGCATGCCTTGTCCCCTGTGTCTTTGACTCACAAGTGAGTGGAGAAATTTAAAGCATGTTCCTATCATCAAGTTGCCATGGTTTAACCTCAGCTGGTGACTATTTACATGCAGCCACTTGCTCAACCCTCCTTTCCAACCCCATTTTTCTACTCCAGGCTGGCCCACAGGAATGGGGAAAAGATTTGAAAAAAAACTCTACACCAAAAACCTCATGGGCTCAGATTAAGAACAGTTTCATAATTGAAGTATAATAATAGTAATGGAAAGGTGAGAGTGCGCGATAAAACCCAAGAGAAACAAGTGATGCAAAATACAATTCCTCATCCACTGCTGATGCCCAGCCCATCTCTAAGCAGCAACATGCAGCTCTCAGCCAATTACCCAAGATGATACTCCAAGGATGATGTTCTATGGTATGGAATATTTCTTTGCCATGGAATATTTTTTTTGGCCACTTCAGGTCACCTCTCCTGGCCATGCTTGCTCCCAGCTTCTTGTCTTGTTTGTGGGTAGAGCATGGGACAGTGAAAAGTCCTTGATTTAGGGAACACCCTATTTAGCTACAACTAAAATATCAGTGTGCTATGAACATCATTCCCATGCTCAATCAAAAACATAGCACTGTACCAGCTAATAAGAAGAAAATTATTCCTATCCCAGCTGAAAACCAAGATACAGAAGGCATGTGTGAAAAGGCAGAACAGAAAGAGATCATTCTCATGGATGTTCATCTATGTGCAATCCACTGCATAATGACACAATATCACAATTGTGCAACATCGTCTAAATTTTCTGAGAAAACTGCTGCCTTGTAACAAAAGTTATAATAAAATACATAGACTAGTATTCATGCAAAAAAGGAAAGACTAAGTTGTAGACACAGCTAAAATTACTGAAATAGCACTGTTTAAAAGCTCAAGGCATAAAAAGGAAAAGCAGTGATTTGAAAAGGTATAAAACCTCACGGAAGAAAACTGGGTAAATGGAGGATAGTTACTTGGCAGCACAGAAGACAATTCCCCTTCCAGGAAGCAGTGGAGGCTGAGCCTTTCCCCTGGGACTGTTGACTGCCAGGTCACCAAAGACACATTGCTCATTCTACAGGGGTGATGAATACTGCAAGATCCCCAGCCACGTCATGTGCATTAGCCAATAAATTTTATAGTTTAAGAACACAAAGCAATTATATCCTGCTTGCTGAGTCTCAAAAAACAATCAAGCCTATCCACATTAAGTAAATGAGAGAAGGAGCATTATGTGGTCAATACCAAACACCCTACAAACTGAAAGAAGCACAGCATTTAGGACAATCAGAGAACTTTCTCTAGAAGTGCACTGTACTCCATTAAACCAATAAACTGGACACTTGCTGCTGCCATCATGGCTATGCTTGCATGCCTGTGATGAAAGACTTTGGGTTTAGCCATGGTCTATAATTTAAAATCAAGGGTGATTACTAAAAAATACATTTTCCATAAATCAAATTGTATAGGGTGTGTCACTACTATGCAGAATTTACAATATAATTTAGAAATATATTAGAAATAAAGTGACTCGAGAAACTACTTGGAAACAAAAAGTCAGCCCCGTTTCTCTAAGGCATATTTTAAAACTGAAGACATCTGTTGATGTTTTCATGAAATCACATTCTCTCTCCATTTATATAATATGACAAAAATATTAAGTAAAATCTTCCACGCTATGTGAAACTTTATCCCACTGGCAATATCCTCATATACAAAGGTGCTTATTGAAGGCTGCTCTAAAATTAGCAGTCACTATGTGTAAAATGAAGCAATACTAAAACCAAAATACTTCAAAAAGAGCTTTGGGCTACCACAGAGCATATAACCTTATTGACTGAAATGATAAACACGACTTTTTCAGAATCCAGTTTGCCTCTTGAAGTTTTACTTGAAATAATATTTTAGTAGAAGTAAATTGAACACATACAGAAAAATACTAAAAATAAAATAATCACAAAGTACTGATAAGCAGAGATATACCAGACTGTAAAAGAAAATGAGGCCCATGTTACAATAAGTAGTGCTACATCACCTTTACTATTCATCTTAATTATCTTTGAAGAGGTTAAATGCTGATTAAATGTTGTACATTGATTAAACTCAAATGTAATACTGAATGAAGGAAAGCAGGACAGAAACTTAAATGGTCTTATGTTGAAGTAATGGTACAAAAATAATCATTAGAAAAAGCTAAAATCATATTTTTAAGTATATTGGATTAGAAAAGTTTTCCCAATGTAAATGATCCATCATTCTAATATTTTAAAAAAATAAACCTCAGGCAGAGCCATGAACTATTAAAAATTATTTTGCACTCAGTGAGAAGGGAAAAGAACAAGTAATTCTAGCTTTGCTTTGCTTACTTTTCCTACCCACTAGGGCTGAAGAAGGGCTGATCAAATTTCCCAAAAGTTTCAAGGTAGTGAAATGGTAAATTTACTGAACAGAGTATCTAGAAATACTTACTTACAGTAGTTAATTGATGCACATCTCTCTGCCCATTTGAGTCTGTAGCTAATCTGATATCTTTATATTTTTCAAGGTAGCTCACAGTATATATTTTAACACAATTTTTGCTGAATTCCTTAATCACATGAGAAACATACAAGGTACTATGTCTTATGACAAAAAATGCTGCTTAAATTACACAGTGAGCTGCACTGACTTCATCGACCTCTCAATTCACAAGCTTAACATTAAATATATGCACAAGTATTTAACTGCCTGAAGAAAATCTAAAGGAATAATTAAGAAACTGGATGAAATTAAAACACTGGAAAAAATTAAGGATGCAAAGACAATTTTAATATACCCAGATTTTTTTTCCCCTCCTCTTCCATGAATTGGACATGATGAAAAATGACTGTAAAGATGCACCTGGTGTAAGCAAGACCTTTAATATGTGATTTAAAATACATTAACTCAATTATGGATAGACACTGGATCTTAAATACATTCTCCTTAGGTTGAATAGAAAAAATTTCCTGAATCACAGATCAAAATACCTTGCTTTTACTTGTTGAGTGATCTTCAACAGCTCATTATAAGATGTTCCTTCTAATAAGAGGTACTGCCTTTCACTGCCTGTCTAGTCTTGAGAAGGCAACAGTTAAAAAGAAATCCAAAATTTTAAGAAGGTACTTCTATGCCTTCTGAAAATAAGTTTAGAGATGGAGGCATAGGTCCATGAGAAAAAAACAATGGGTATGCTAATTTCATAGCATATATATCATTATGCTATTTCATATATGCTTATGATATTTCATATCATATATCATTAGCCTTCTAATAATAAAGAAAAATAACACTGTCAAAGATAGTAAAAGACTGACAGAAAATAAGATTAATGTTAAAAAAAAATCTGAAAAATTTTTTAAGTGATATTAGGAGATAATGTCCAAAAATTAAACACCACCCAGCCTCAACTGTCTTGTATTCTAATGAGGCCTTATGTTCTAATGAGACTGTATGTTCAAAGATGGCCTTGTATTCAGCCTTTACCTTCATTAGCACAAGGTGTAACAAATTTCTGATCCATTCTGTCTTCCTTATAAACCTAAATACCTCTATTTTTGCTTAACTCATCCTTAATATTGAGCTTGCTGGCTCAGTGGAATGAAGCTCCAAGGGTGAGGAAACTAAGGTGAATACAGCTGTACGGATTAAGAATATCAGCTATGGATACAACCACACTGTGCAGCTTGGTGCAATCGCACATCATGCTCACCAGCTTGTTCAGACTAGGCTGGGTTATTGTACTTGTACCGTTTTGGTGACTAGAGCCAAAACCAAAACCCAGAAATCTACCTATGGAGGAGGCATCACATTCACACTGAATCATCTTTGTTTGGCATGTAAGTGAAACTGTTAAAAGCCCTCATCAAACTGATGCCATGTCCTCCAGATGGTCCTGAATGCAGGCAGCCAGGATGTGATATTTGGACACAGTCTGTGTTTGCAGAGCACATGGTTGTAAGCCAAGAATGTTTCAGTTGCTGAATGTCTGGAGTTCATTCCAGTCCTGCCAGGGTATACAGCATCAGTTAGAAATGGACTTAACATAAAACAGAAGATTTTTCAACACAGTGTAATGTGAGTTATGAGTCAACTTTTGTTACAGAAGGTGGGAAAATGCATTCACAATAAGATTTTTAATTAATTTTGGCTCTTAAGGGAGATTTTTTTAAAAACTGGCACAATGCAAACTAACCCTATTCCACTGGGATTTATTTCATTTTATTTACCTATTTTCATCACCCTTCATGAGCTGAACAAACTGCTCTGTTTCATCATTGCTGCTTGTCTGACTCCACATATTACATGAGCTATGAGCAGAACTTGCAGCAGTAGTCAAATTATTGCAGAGGGTCTCACAAAATTAAAAGTTGCATCAGATAAAAATGTGATTGCTAACTGGATAATTCTGCAACACAAAACAGTACTTTATTTTTTGGTGTTGAAACAATCAGTATTTCCAATATTATATGCAGTAAATCACTTGTACATTGCATGAGGTTAGATTTCAAAATCCATTCATTTTTACAACCTCCACTATCTAGATTCCACAAACTCATGAAGAATCTTTAGTAATGAAAAATGGGAATGGGCAGAGAAATATGTAAACACATGAAAACTTGTACACTTTATACATATATAGCACCTGAAGATTCTCTGAAGTACTTTTAATTGATCTGATGGATTCACAGTACAATAAGTAAACCTGGCTGATATGATTACTTTCCAAGTTCTGGACATTACGTTACACAGCTCTAAGGATAGGATTCTACATTTATTTGACTGTAAATGCACAACAATATTTGCCCTGAAGAAATTGTTAATATGATTATAGCACATACATAAAAATATACACACTTAGAAACTAATAGCAAATCACCAGTGTACTACATCTTAAGCCAGTTTCAAAAGGAAAACAAGAAAAAAAATACTGTCTTAAATTACATTAAAAAAAAACCCAAAACAAACCAGCCTGAATCAAGTTTATAGAGCATTACTGAGAAGTTTTAACATCAGTAATTCTTTTCGTAATCTGGGAGATTATCAGCAATGTTGCTAGTACCCTGAGTCAACAGATGATATAATATATGGGTAGGAAAAAATCCTGGCTTCGGAAGTAAAATAATTTCCTATGGGATAAACATTATTCTGTGGCTAATTATATCACATTACTCTTGAGATTATAACTCTACATTGTTTTTTAAACATTGTAGGCTTGCATTTATTTTTCTCGTTCTGTCTGGCACAGAACTTCTTTTCATTTTAACTTTAAATTAACTTTAGCAAAAGCTTTGGTGGTAGAAAAAAAAAATGTAACCTTTGCTAGAATGGAAGACAGAATCATTTGAAAAAATGTAAAAGGCCAAACTTGGTGATGAGTCATTGGAATTAGCAAAACTTGCTCTGATACCGTTGAGGAGGACGTGCTCAGGAAAAACTCAGGATATTTTTTACTGTGATTTGCAATAGACTGGACACCAGTCTCCAGCACTGAGTGACCAATTAATCTTGCATTTCAGAAATGTAAAGTCATGCTCTTGAACTGGGTTTCTGTGTATGTTTCAGTGAATTTGTTCAGGAAAGAAAAGTGATCTAGAATAACTTAATTTGAAATTTATAAACACAGTGATCACAGCTGAGAGGTCAAAACTGTAAGGATAGTATTTATAGGCACTGCTGCTACAGATGTGCTTCTGTGGAATAATGAAATGTAATCCTATTGAAATGTTCATCCTATTTCAAAAACTGAAGCAAAAATGCTGTCAGCTGATGCTTAGGTCAGTACCAACAAAATCACTCATCTGATGCTTAAAAAAATTAGAGTACAAAAATAGACAACTAATTTAGATAGCACAAAGTTTATAGAGACCTGAAAAAGAAACAACTGTTTTATTCTATTATGCTTCTACATTTGGAACTAAAAAATAGTACTATATACAAACAAAGTAAGGTTGTAAACATGATTTTATACTGTTGTCACATAAAAGGCATCAAATTTCATGAAAATTGTCACAAATTATCAACCATTTTAGGAAATCAGCTCTTTAATTAATATGGAGAATTTTACTCATGTATGTTCAGGCATTTTACTCGAGTAGAGATAGCAGTAAAATGCCTGATAAGAAATTGCTTTTTTATCAGGTAAATTATTTATTTTCTAATGTTATTGCACAAAAAAGCCTTTTTAATTTTTTTAAATTCAGTATATTCGCTTGAAGCAGCAACGAATCTCACTGCTTAACTAAAAGCCACTCTTAAAGCCAGCCAATCAGTTTCACTGTTATTAGTTCCTTGTTTAATGGAAGTCCATTGGTGATTTATCTACATTATGAATACACAGATTTTCAGTCCAAAACTTGATTTTAGATAAATCTGTACTGGTCTCATTTCTCTGTCATGCATAACACTTCCTCTCCTTATATTAAACTTTTTACAGATACTATTTTATATGTAAATACATCTGTGTTTTGGTATGCATGTCTAGCTATATATATTATATAAATGGAAAGAGAATGGACATATTTGTAGAACACTTCTTATTTTCCTTTAAATAATGTTACCAGATTATTTTCTCTTGCATTTAAACACTAGAATCTAAAACCAGAAATATTGCCTTGATGTCACCTGTGAGATAAATTTAGACATGTTCTCTCACTTAATTTCCAATTATATATGATACTAGAAGAGTAACACTGAATAGGTCTGTGAAAAATCTTCTGAGGAGTAATTTTCAAATTTGAAGTAAAAAGCTGACCAAATAAAAATCATTGTTGCATTTGTTACTCTACAAATAAATACAGAAAAAGAAAAACTACTCACAATATACAGAACTCTGAATGTAAGTATTCTATATACAAACTCACTACTAACCTTGGTTGAAAGTACTATGCTCTAAGAGAGCAGGCCTTATCTTTCCTTGGTGATTAATTTCCTGAATTACTTCCCTTAGACCTGAATGCTTATGTTATTATTATTATTTTCATGTACATTTTCTTGGTATTGTTTATTATACTGTGTATTTAAGGAGCATATCACTGTTCCATATACAGCAACATAATTGATATAAAAACACCTTCTCTTCCTCAGTGCAGAAACAATATTATAAAAAGAAATGTAAGTACTGTACACAGGAAACTTGAAGCAGTTTCCAACAGGATACAGGCATAGACAATCCATTCAATGCTCACTAGATATCAGATGAAATCAGGTATTCATTTTAAAAAAGGACCCCCTGAAGAAAATGCAGTGGGTAAAATCCACTAAATATAAAATGCAGAGGATAAAAATCAGCGCAGTCTGTGACCTAGTAAAAGAGTGAGTCTAAACATGGTGTGAAGCAAATGTGCTTCATCTCCATTACAGAAAAGTAGGAAAAGAGCCTGATCAGTTCAAAAGATTATGTCAGTGGCTTTGAGATCTTTAAGGAGGATGTGCACTAAGGATTATGTCTTTGTCTTCTTCTGAAGGAAATGTTACATGAAATGGGTAGATTTATACTAGGGAAGAGAGGAATCATGTATCAGCTTTGGAAAACAACAAATCTTATAATACGTAAAAGATTGCCTCAGAAAATAAAAGAACAAACTTACCCCCATGTCCACATCTACCAGAGAAGAGAATATGACTCTGCTTTTGAACATCTAAGATCCTTAGTTGATGTTGCAAGGTACTGCCCACCCACATGCAACTTTTCCTCACTAAAGAGACCCTTTCGGTTTCCAGACCAATTCTCCAACTTGCCAAGTTCAGTCTTAGTTCTGAAAAGGTCTCCCAAAGGTTCCTTTTGCTAGATAAATGTCAATGTAATACTTAACTGGGATAGACTATACTGATTTAGATGTTGTGGTATCCTCACCATATTTGTAAATATTACAAATCACTCTCTGCAGGCACCTTGGCACAGCTAGTCATACCATATAGAAGTGAATTACTATGTGGGGAGAAAAAACATTTTTCTATCCTTTGCATTAAAAAGGTTAAGTACATCAATAGATTTCCCATGTCATATATATGTTTTTGCAAGTAACTTTAAATATTTTGTTTATAACTGTCTTACTGAAGTAAAAACGGATTCCTGATAATAACTACAGTACTATATAAGTAAACAGCATAAGTTACCTGCTTGGTCTTTAAATATTTTTGATATGACGACAGGCACTTTGTGCTCAGCACCACCCTGTAAGAAAGACATATTGATCATGAGATCTCAACACTGAGGTGGTTGTACTGAAATTCAAAAGAAGAAAATAGATGTTACCCATACCTTTATGCTTAAGCCCAAGCCACCAACTGGTTGTCTATGAAGTGTAACAGTTCTGTGCTTTAAAAAATTGTAGAAAAAATAAATTTAGGTGAAAATACAATATCTGTTCCTAGGCTCTCAGTTACTTAAAAAAAAATTAATTCTTAAAAGTAGTCTAGAATCCGAGTGATCAGTTCTGAAGTATCATTCAACATTGATTTATAGGCACTTAATTAATTCCTTATCACAGAGAGCAGAACTTGTGAGTTGTGTATTCAGACTTTAGTATGGTTTTCTATCTCTCAAGTGATATTCTTCCTGAACAGAAATTTGCACATTTCCTTTGACAAGGGAAAACTATATGAAGAGCTCATATATGTGCATTTTCATAGCAATTGTGTACGTATATTTGTTCTAATTTCTCAACCAAGAATACCAGTGTTTTCTAGTCTACATCTTCAGAACCCTATGTATTTTTTTTGTACCACATGCTGCAAAACTTTTAGTGATAGTCTGTTTCAAATGTTTAATTTTTTCAGTTCAGATTTAAGTGCATAAGGAAGATAAACCTTTATCAATATTTTTCTAGAGAAACCTATCATATGTTTAACAGTGTGCTGAATTTGATGTTTCAATAATGTGTAACTCATGGTGCCTGACAACATAATAATAGCACTTCATCTGTTGACAATAATTACACAGTCGATGGTAACTTTTTTTGGAACATGCTGAACAGCAGTGAATAGAATGACATCTTTACAGTTATTTCTGAACATATAAGATTATTTTTTTTTTCTTTTTCTGTATGTTAAAAATTGTATATAAGATTACTCCTACAGGTATACTTTCTGTCTGGGTGTTTTACAATTTCACTGATTCAGATAAATATAAATTTTTATTTCAGTAGTCAAGACCATAACCTTATAATGACAAGTTATTTTAATATATATACCACTTTTTTTTTTGTAACAATGCTAGCACTCATCATATTGAGTCAGTGGAAAGTGAAACAAAATAAAACTGAAATTTCAGTTTTATTTTAAGTGTAAAAAAATAATCTATATGATAAAAACAATTCGGAATCATTTAATACCTTTTCAAAATTGCTTCTGTTTTCATGAATACTGTACACTAGTCTATGCTAAAAATGGAAAGCTGCTGCATTCTGAACATGGTACCTGACATATCCAAAGTTTATAGGATTCAATTTCAGCTGGTAAAATTCAGTTTCTTTGAAATTCATGCTAATGCAAATTTTTTCACAGGTTTTTTCTTCATTTTGAACTGCATCAAAACTTTTGCTGAAAATTATCACACTTGCTGACAAAGTTCAGATCTGATCTGAATCAGAATACATCCCTAACTTTGAATTCAGTGATTCATTCTCAAGAGATGTTTTTCAGGTACTAATAGCTGTCTGCTTACTTAATTCTTATTTTATTCCATCTACTCTTACACCTTGAAAATATATTACCCTAATATATCCCGTCATGAGGAATGATGAAATAAATATTTCCAAATTTTAGTCCGCTTTAGCATGATCATAAAACAAACAGAAAGCTGCTATGTGGATAGCTTTAGCTGTTTTATAAAAAGGATAAGTACGGTACTACTTACTGGCATCTTATACTTTGAGATAGAGCTAACATGCATTTTTGTATGATTAACAGGTAGCCCTATGAAGCAATCTATTTGCGTAACATTGGTATAATCTTGATATTTCTATCTTAATAGTTCATAGCATTGCTTACTACAGATATTAAAATACTCTTATTAAAAGAAGAAATTAAACTCATACTTAAATGACTTCTACATTCTTCTAACAGCTTAGTAAAGGCTATGTTTAAAAAATGCAAAAGCTTTCTTCTTTCCAAGATGTTCAAATTGCAAATTAAAATGCTAAAAGCTGATCATGATTAAGTATCATGATCAAGATCATTTACACCTATTTATTTCAGTTCTATGATGACATATCATTTGCTATGACTAGAAAGGCATAACTTTCTTGCCCTGTTTGACTTTTTTAAGGAAACCTTAACAGCTGCTGTCAGAAAAAAGACAGTGAGATTGATAGACTTTAGGTCTGAATCAGTCCTGAATTTGTTATGGAAGGACAAAATTTCATGACTGAAATTTGAACTGAAACCCAGAGTAGCTTTGTACGTAATTATGAAAGAAAATTCTACTCCAAAACATCTTGCCGTAACTGAACTGCAATATTTGTACGGAAATAAACCTAATTGTTTGTTTGCACATATGCAGCTGAAAACCCAATGTGTATGTCTCAGTCAAACATACAAACAACTTCTTTCACTTTTTCATTGCCTGCAGCCTAGTTATAATTTTTCTTTCCAGAATTTACTTATGGTTTTAGAGTGAAGTGAGGCAGGCATTTGTATCAGTGTTAGAAAAATAAGAAAATACAATGCTATTGTTGACTGTGTAATTTTATTTCATTATGGGCAAGGAAAACCCTTTAGACTGTCTTACTAAATATCAATCTATACAGCAAAACTGAAAGTACATTTTTTTTAAAATTAACTTTTTTTTTGCTTTTTAACTAGTGTTTTGTTTTGTTTAATAGTACCTACAGTTTCTTGAAACTCTGTTCTCACGGGTTCCAAAGCACTCGATATGTACTCTATAAGCTACCAAGCAGAAGCAACTATATATCCGCTATGGCACAACAGCCTGTTTTGTTTCCTGTTTCTAGGAGATTAGAGGACAAAGTAGTATTCCACATAAAACTTGAGGATGCATTTGAATTGACAGACTATAAGTAATAAAACTGTAATTGATAGGATACCAATATGAAATATTCCTATCTTTTTGAGACCTTTTATTTCTGCAAGCTGTTAACTGGTAAGGCAGAAAATTTCAGGAACTCCAAGAACGATGCCAGACAGGGAATATATTGAAAAGCAGATATGACAAAAAATTTTAACCATGTAAGACACAGACACCATTCAAAAGAACACTATGTCAACTACTGTATAGAGAAGAGACTACTTGTTAACAGGTGTTCATAACAGCTAAAATGAATAATACAGCTGAAAAAAAATCTATACTTTTATTAGTTGCAAACTGAATGACACTTTCAAATGTAATGGGGAGAACTATATGGTGAAACACCCATCTTTTAGGTATCAGATAGCTCTACACAGAAAACCTACTAGATTCTGTTAAAAAACAATGACATAATAGAAAAGTTTATCTCTGGGGAGGTCTTTTATGTCTTGGTATTTGTTCATATGAAGTGGTACAACTGGAGCTTAATGGGAAACATGAGAAGGCAAATGCAGTGCTTATTTCTGTTGCTGTGTTTTAGGAAGATTTTATATACAAATATATATGCCAATGCCTACCTGATACATCATTATTACCAGGTTGTTAACATCCAGGACTGGCCCTTGTGGTAAAGGATCTCTCATTAGAAAAAAATATTATATCTATCTGTATATCTATCTGTATATCTATCTATCTATCTATCTATCTATCTATCTATCTATCTATTTGAATAATACATTATGGGGATTGCAGAATGAGATTATGCTTGAAGAACTCCAAAATCATGATATAAAGAGACAATTTTTAAAGAAGATTCTGTATGCACAATACTTTACTTTTCTGTTCCAGTCTGCATGAAAATATTAATTAATACATATATTATTTCCAAGCATAAAACTGAAGTACATAGCAAAAACGCTGGAGCACCTGGCACAGACAATGTTCTTCTGGTTTTGTAGAAACTGTTCTAAGAAAATAGCTCATTCACAATGGCTAGAACAGGTTGGAAGAGACAGATCACCGACACTTTAATTTTGTTCTTTTCCCTTCAACTTACCCGTAAGACTACTGTGATGACCCTACTAGTGTCCTCCTGGACTGCCCTGTCCCCATAGCAAGGAGGTCAACTGGGGAATCCCTGTGCTGACTTGTCTCCTGTGTGGGTATCTTTCATGCTGCAGGACCTGGACGCTGACAGCATTAAATTTGGCAGGAATAATTGTCTTAGAGTAGGACCATAGTTACAAGCTGGGCAGAGCTGTAAAGGTCACACCTCCTCATGTTCCCAATAATGGCCTTGGGGGTAACTAAGCTGACCACTGCCCCAGTGTGATGGTGGCACTTCCTCTCCAACTTTTGTCTTCACTGCCCAATAGCATTACAAGGCTAAATTCCTGGTACCAACTCCAGTTGTTAGCCTGAGCCTGTGCCCATGGGCTAAGAGTAGCTGGGCTAAGCTCTGCAGTTATCGAGGGGTGCTATGTGCCTTATACTGCTTCAGACAGATATTGGCAAAAATGGGTCAACCAATAGCCGTAATATTCATAACAATGACCACACCAACAAATCCTGTGGAATGTAGGGGCACCAACAGATCCAGTATCATGAAATATCATCTAAATTACCAATTAGGACAAAAATTACTGGTCTTGACTTAAGGGGACTGGTCACATTTACTTAACTCAGAAAAGGAACAGGTATAAATTATATGTGTTCATATAATATATAATACTCATGACTAAATGTGCCTTGGTACCTGAGCTTATCTAGTCCCACACTCACACCACAACAGACTATTACCTTAATAGATAGCAGTCTAGTCCTTAAACACAAAAAGTGAATAAACAGGAAGATAAGAAAAAGTGAACAAAGAGAACAAAGAAATCATAACTGCATTGTTTACAGGATTTTTTAAAAATAAATTTATTCTTACTTCTAAATTTGTAGTCTAGTATTTATTGGAAAGAGTAGTCTCAGAAGTTCTCCTTACTTGTTGAAAGTAAGATGTCAAATTAACTACAGACCCTACATGGCAGCTTTGCAACAGAAAAAAAAATAAGAAAAATGCAGAGTTTGCCATCTAGGCCCTTGGGAAACATACTGGGGAAAGGAAAAAGGAAAACAAGAAAGTGCAAAAATAAGACTCAAAAGAGAAGACTGTAACCTGTCCTGCATCAACGCAAGGGAAGAAGCAGTCTGATACCTGAAGGGGTAAGAAGATTACACTAGTTTCACTTGGGATAGAGTTTGTTTTCTTCTTAGGACTTAACATATCAGCCATATGTTCCTTT